CAGGACTTGTCAGACTGCACTAGCTCAGGAGTACAGAAAGGAAAACATAAGCAATTAACACATGACAGTTTGGATTAGGAGGAGGCTGCCAAGATGGATATGAGAGCAGCACAGCGATGAAAGGACAAGACGTGGAGAAATCATCAAGAAGAGAAAGGGTAATAGCACATCCAGGATGGAGCAAGGGACTGCAGGCAGACACAGGGCGTGGAGCTGTTTACAGGAGGAGAAAGCAAGAAAGAACATTTAACTCTGCCTTATATACACAAGTGGCTCTTTTAGAGCAAGGCAATAGATCATTAAACACGAAGGACAGCAAAATGACCCTCAAGCCATGACTGAGAGACCGATGCTATATTTGCAGTAATTCAAAGTCTGATATTTTGTTTACTTCTTTATTTATTATGAGATCTTGATCAATCTCCCAGATGCACAGAGCAAAGAAGGTGAACTCTGCCAGCCTTGCAAAGCTGTTGCCCTCAGCCCTTGTAATCATGCAAGCCTCAGCTGCTGGAGGGCTTCAAGTGCTGTCCCAGAACAGCACTGAAAAGAATCATAGAATCACAAGGCTGGAAATGACCTGCAAGATCTAGTCCAACTATCCTCCCATTACCATTCCTACCACAAGCTCCTAAACCATATCTCATAGCTCCTCATCCAGACAAGGGCACACAATCTCACCAACTCTGAGCTACCTGGCTATCTCAGTTTTCAGGTGACACAGTCCAGTTTCCTCCTTGTCAAAGACTAAAGCCACAACGTGCCTCTGGGAACTCCCATGTCAAAGCTGCAGACTACTTCCAACACCAGAGTACCAGTTCTATGACACCATAGAGTCACTTGAGTTGGACGGGACCTTTAAAGGCCACATAGTCCAAATCCCTTGCAATGAACAGTGATGCCACACAACTGTCAGGAGCCTAATAGGGCACCCAAGCCAACTGCATCCTCCAAGCTATACAACCAACAGTACAGGTCCTAGGGTACCGCAGGTTAACCACTCTGTGGGTTTACCTATAGGAACAGTCCCATTTATCAGCTAGCTCACACTTCACCAGTCAGAGGAGGTCCATGCAGCACCCATCAGTTTATCCTCAAGCCTCAATTTTATAGCAAGAACACTGATAGGATCATACAGATTTAAAAATCATATACAACAGAAAGCAGTCTGCCCATACAGTACTCAAAAACCAGATGCACTCAGCATAAAGCACTCCTGAAGCCTATTGACTTTTCCCAAAGACTCCATCCTTAAGATGCTTGGGTGAAAAATAGAGGAAAAAGCTTCATCTTCAGCCCCATCCCTGCTCTGGCAGGCAGTGTTGCTCTTTGATAGGAGCTGTGTCTCGGCCAGCCCACAAACCCATTTAGAGCACATATAAACATCCAGAAGACACTTTAAGAAGAGCCTCTAAAGGCAGGCAGAAATGGCAATTATTAATTTTCTAAATAGAAATCTGACTACTTAAGCCTTATTTAAAAGTGTGCCTGTCTCTATAATTACACAGCCTTAATTTGTTTTCTTTCCTCCACAATAAATAAGGTGCGCACAATTACCCTCTGCAAACACAGTGCCTCCTGACTGGCTGGCCCAGTATGCAGCTGCTCAGGAAAACATTTAGAGGGAATTACAGTCTCTTAAGTACCTGTTTCCCAGTACAGGGAGATTCAGACACCGCAGAAGTCAATTTGTCTAGCCTTAGGCACAATCTGCTGGAACTCTCCTCTCCCACATCCATAGCTCTACCACCCCAGCTGTGAGCAGCAGGCTGGACACATTGCCTGGAAGCAATCAGGTCTTGTCCTCTCCTGCACACTGATTCCAGTGCTGGGTTTTCCTGGTGACTTCTCAGTACCTAAGTAAAGATTGTGATTGTGTTGCATTCCTTCCTACAGGGCACTACAGCAACCTCTCTGCACTGTTTCTCTGACTATTTTCATGACAGTTATATGAAAAAGATCCTCATGACTTGTAATTCCCTATCAAGCTGAATTAAATTGGCCAGAGCATTTCAGTATTACCAAGAGAAGAACAGGCATGGTAAGAGCACAAAAGACGTTTTCCTCAATAAGCTCAAAACACAGTGACATAAATATGTATTCAGATGGTTTATGTGTCTCAAGTTTAGGCACCATATCATCCTAAAGCCTTCTTGCCTATGTCAAGCCAAAGACTGAGGTTTTGTGTCATCACTAAACATTTCTACAGTCTTCTACCCCAATTTACCCAGATCTGAGCAGTCAGGACGAAGATTTTCTACAACCTACATGTGCAGCTTCTCACATGCTACACATGCTACTCCCCACAACCATTTCCCTATTAGCCAAGGGACAGTGAAAGCTGCACAGAAATGGGAGCAGGAAGCTGCCAGTACAACTTTGCATAGAAATAAAGAAGACTTCCAGAGTGAGCATGCAGAAAGCCTCTGGATGACATTGAGTTTAGACGAGGCTTACAACGATCCTCTTCAACACAGAGTCAGTACTACTTTTAGAAGAAATCAGTGGCCCAAGATCCACAACGGAAAAGGGGATGGAATTTAAATGAACACACCAAACCTCATCCAGAACCATTCTTTTAAACCCCTACAAACCTGAACTCCTGCAATTAGAGCTAAGTGATCTGCTTATGATTGCACAGCTGGGGTCTGAAGACAAGCGCACGCAGTAAGGAGCAGCCAGAAATAGAAGCTGATAGGAGAAGGCAGAGCTATCTGGTCCATCCGAGATGAGGAAGCTTTGATGAAAGACATTGGGGAAAAAGTCGCTTCAGAGGGAGGCTGGGATCCAACCCAGAACAGGGAGGGGTGGGGAAAAAAGCAACTGAGTCCCTGCCATTTGTATACAAGCTTCATGTGGAAAAATGCCTGCTGCTTTTCAGATCCAACTTGCAGCACCCCACGAGGGTTATCCTTATTCAGGCTGTGAAGTCTCTATGTTTGTTAGAGATGTGCAGTCTGTATCTCAGCTCCACCTGCAATCATCCAAACCTAGCAAAGGAGGAGCAAAACCACACAGCTCACCCATCAGCCTGAAGTCCACTGTCCTGCAACACATTCAGCTGCTGCCAACTCTACCATGAGGGGATTGAGATGGTATCCCTTGCTCTTGTCAGCTACTGTACCCACTTAAAGCAGTCCAAGACTCACAGCAGAGTGATATTTCCATTAATCCTTTTATCCCTGGCACCTATGTGTAGTGGCTTCAGAAAATGTCAGGCTCTCAGCAAGCTGAGCTCTCCAAGAAGCAGCAGCTACAAAGATGCTCTGATGTGCTGGCATAGCCCCATGAGCACACAGTGGAACTCAATTGGCACTGTGTGTCTCTAAGCCTGGGCAGCATCCACGCTCTTATGCCAGAATTGGACAGTCCCAGGAGAAAGAAGCCAGCACCATGACATGAGAGTTCAAGGAAGCAGATTTCCCTGCAAGACCCAGCTCTGCATCCCTATGGATGAGAATCTGCCACCAGGAGCAGCCACATTGAAAGCATTCACACACCATGGACACACCACTGGAACACACTGCTGGGTGTGCTCAACAGCATCAAATCCCACCAGCAAACATCAACCAAATAATGCACTTCCTTGCCTCAAGCTTCAAACGGCAAGGAAAGAAAGACATTAAGAACATGATCAATCTTACATGGCCCGAGCAGTAAACAAACACATATTTCATCACAACACACCAACCTCAGCTTTTGACACAAGATGGATATGTCGGGGGTTTTTTTCCCCCCCATCTCAAAAGTAATCTCAAAAGACAAAAAAAAAAACCTAAGTGCTTTCCAAGAAAGCAGTAACAATTGTATGTGTACATGTTAATGGCACACTCAGATTCAAAGTGAGCATATTTCCTCCTACACTCCTATGATAACCAAACTAATTTCATCAGGAACCAAATGCTATGTATATAACAGATAAAAAATGAATAAACTGCAACAGCACAATTGACAAATTACATTAGAAAAAAGTCAGTTGGGAAAGGTATTTCAGAAAGAACATTTCCCAGTAACAAACAACTACACAAAATACAAAACAAATGCTACAAATCAAAATAATAAAGCATGAAAATCAGGGAAATCCCTGTGGCCAGTGTTAAGGAGTTTATATTATAACAAGATACACACTTTTAAAACTCAGAAAGGCCTCATGTTTGTTCATAATGCCCTTAACTATTCATGCCCTTTGGTACTGCACATCTCCTATTTAGGAAGTACTTCACCGTCACTTAGCAACTGTAACTGGTTTTCCAAAAAGGAAGCTTCTGGGGTTTTCAGTTCAAATAATCTCTGAGCATACATCAAAAGACAAATAGATACAACCTGCAGAACTGGATATATATCCCTCCACCAGTAGCATTCCATCTCAATGGCCACCTGCACCCACAGAGTCAAATGGCTGTGCTCTACAGCCATCTTCCCCATAGAAAAAGCTACTGGCATTGGTTTCTAAAACACAGGGATGCTCTCCATCCAGCTCACCAGTTCAAACCCAAAGCTGCACCACTCCCCACCAATTTTTTTTTTTTTTTTTTCTTCTTTTAACCTGTGCCAGAGCCAACAAGGCTTTATCTTGGACACAGTTGCTTTGACAAGACATTTCAAACCCATGAACACTTTCCACAACTTGCACAGTACTCCAGCTTTTGTTCAATGCCTTTGGAAGGCGAATAGATATCCAGTAAAGAAATCCCTTGACCTCAAGCATAGGCAAGCTCCTTGGGACACCATACCCGATGGCTAATGATGCCCAGGGAGCTGAGCACTCAAACAATATCTCACAACACCACTACTCCAGCCCTACCCCATGCCCACCAATGGGCCAGCTCACAAAGCCACTCATTAGGAGATCTGACAGCCACGTGCCTCAGGATTTGCATAACGAGATGGCCACCTCTCAACCCTTTCCCCTTCAGCATCCCCCTCCCTGGTGCCACGGTCTGTGACCAAAGCCTTGCTGGGGGAGCAGAGGGGCACAGACAGCAGCTGGCTGCACTCACATGTAGCGCAGATGAGGGTTCTTCGCAAAGGCGCGAGGTTGGATATTTCGTAGTCCTGAGTTCCTGATTGTCCTGGAAAGAGAATGAAAGGGCAGCAATGAAGTCCATGTTGAAGACTGCTCTAAAGCCCTGTGCTGAGCACAGACACAGCACAGTAGCAGACAGTACACAGGAGCCCTCCAGTCCCTAAGGAGGGACATCTCACCCCCAGACAACCCCCTCAAGTGCAGAGGAAATCAGGCTTTTCAGCTTCAGCTGACACCAGCAGCACAGGCTCAGCACGCAGCAGCTGCTGGGCTGCAAACAACAGTATGCCCCTTCACTGTTTGCTTTGACAAGATGAGAACTGCATCAGTCGGCATGCAAGATGGGTGTTTAGCATGCAGTTTGTTGGGGTTCAGATACCCAGGTGGTACCCAGCCTTCCCAAGCACCAAGAAAACTACTTTCAGGCAAAGGGCCTCAGTTTCTCTGTGATGCACAAGGTCAAGCTCTTCTGAAACCAGGAGGGCTGCACAGGGAGATGTCATTTCCTAATTATGCAGCACTACCACGACAACAACCAAACTAAACGAGAACCAACAGCCCAGCATTGAAGGATTGGCAGAGACAGCTGGAAATCCACACTGTGGGACTGAAATGAGTCAGAACAATGCACAAGCCCAGCACCAGAACAGCGGGGGAGAGGAGAGGTCAGGGCTGATGTGTGTTGACAGAGCTGTCACGAGCTAGCAATCTTCCTTCTCCCAGATCCAGTAAAGACCAGAAAGCACTTCATCTCCATTTTGTGAAGTTTCATAACAAAACACTGCAGAGCCAGCAGCTTAAATAGGCTCCAAATGCCACAGCGCAGAGAAAGAGGGAACCATTTGCTTAGGAAGCAAGGGACTGCCCAGTGCACTTCTCCTCCCCGACATGCAAGACATACTCACAGCCTCTGGAGTCCCGTGTACAGCTCCATGTCTACAGCATTCAGCGTCTGCAAGTTCTTCCAGTTCTCTATGTGTCTGTGAAAGAGAAGGAAAGGCTCAGCTACGGCACATCCAGATGGCTCTGCCCACTCAGAGGACAGCAGACATGTTCACCTTTGCTCTAGCTCAAACCTTCAACGTGCAGAAGGTCTGGAAATTGAATGTACTCTGGCTTCAGCAGACATATCCCCAGATACATGTGGTATGCATCATGCTGCCAAAACAAGCAGCTTCCCATGCTGCTTTTTATTCTGTGTTCCCTGCACTCCAGGGTAAAAAAACACCACCACCAACATGGTTTTACCCACAATTTTCAGTGTAGGAAATGCAACCGATCCATTGTACGCCATTGGTAAAGTCATTGCTTCTCTCCATGCACATCAGTGAAACAATGCCACTCAAAAGGAGTGAAAGTAAATAAAACGTCTCAACAAAAATATGGGGCCTGAAAAGGGGAGGAAAGGAAAAATGGCATATATTTATCCATTCTCTTACTATAGTGGACAACGGTGCTGGTCCTTGCTAGCTGGAAGCGCTGCTGGCAGCAGAGTGCCAAACTCAGTTTGGAAGCCATGCCTTTATTATAAATTCCTCTGTCACCTGGGGCACTCTAGCAGGTATGTTACAGAGAACAGAAAACAGAAATAGATCTGTCACCATGGGATTGTTACTCAGTAAATATTAGAGCTGGGGGAAGGTGACAGATCGACAGCCCCAGAGGACGGGGTCCCCTGTTATCAGGAGCACAGGAGTGATGATGGCAGCAGCATGGCCGCAGGCCCCTAACAAGCTGCAATGCTGTGCAGTTGGGAAGAAGCTTGGTTTCCACCAGCCCGGTAGTCCTTGGTGAGTCAAGGCTTTCTCCCAGACCACACTCATATTCCTTCCAACAGAAAGCACATTTCCAAGAGAACCTTGCTGCACAGCAAGTAAATGTGGTCCTCTACCAGAGCAATCTCGGAGGACGTAAATCTGTCCAGTTCCCTTAGACAAGGCATAAAAGAAGTGCAGCCTCCAAGTTCAGGAGCACATGCTCCCAAACTCACATTTGCCCTGATACCATCATTGGCTTCGTACTCAGCCCTGGGCAGAGAAACATTTCCATGTTATGGAGGGTTGGGGTGATGGGCCAATGCTAAAACCATCACCTCTGAGTATAGGACATCACATGGTGGAACAGAAGGTGATTAAGGGGAATAGAGACCCTTCAGCCACTCCTGGAGCAGTCACAGAGGTCATACATTCCTTCTCAGAACATAGTGAGTGCTAGAGAAGCATTTGCACAAGAATAGATGAACAAGCACAATAGAATCTGGACTTAAACTACATCCCAAATACCATCCACATAAAGAAGAAGAAATGTAAAAATCCAAATTCTGGATTAAACTTCAACCCTGAACATGTTTCTCTGCTATCACCATCCAAATCCAATAAGACCAAAGACCCAGGAGTCATCTCTGTGGGTGTCCCATCCCTGGAGGTGCTCAAGGCCAAGTTGGATGGGGCCCTGGGTAGTCTGAGCTGGTGGGGAACAACCAGACCATGGCAGGGGGTTGGAGCTTAATGATCTTTGAAGGTTTCTTCCAACTCAAGCCATTCTATTCTAACCCATGAAAATTTCACATCCTAGGGCACAAGACTAGAGGACTGTGTGCCTGGGTACTTGCCTTTTGCAGGGCTACAAACATGACTCCTACAACCCAAAGGAGAGGCTCCTCCAAGAAAAGAAGAGGCAGGAAGGGGATGACTTGGGTTTACCACTAGGGCACGCTGGAGCTGAGCCCTGAGCCAGGGCTGGGAAGGAGGTGGCAGCCAGATTGGCTCTTGTTTTATTGATTGTGGTTGCTAAAATAAAATAGTCAAGGTTATTTTTGACCTGACACTCAAAGCCACACGCAGCATATGAGAGGTAGGAAGAGACCTGGGCTTGTTCCCAATGACACACACAGGCTTGCTGGTGACTGGGGGTCTTGGTGGGAGCTGTAAATCTGACAGAACTACAAACATCTTGGCCTGCTCTGGACTCAAAATGAAAAGAGTCTCTCATTCTGTCCACAAAATGCTGCACTATAACTATGGAAATGGATGAAGTACATAATGCCAGTACAGACCTGCACTGGACAGAATGGCTATTGCCCTCCAAGCAGTTCAATCCCTCCACGAGTGACATTGTACCAAGCTGCAAAGAAGCCTTCAGAATCCATGCTCCAGCCTCCCAAAGGCAGCCCAGGATTTTCCAGAGTCAAATACACTCTGGTTTGTTATTTACATACACACACAACACCCATATAGGGAGTGACAAGGGAGGTGGAAATCAATACACACACATAGAAAAATCCCATGACACAGCAGCTGTTTTACATAGAGTGCAACAGAGGGTGACAGCATCATCTTGAATTAGGTGCACAGTTCAGCAAGCAAATTTGAGTCCTTGTAGCTACACAGATGCTTCCCTTCACAAGGGGTCCCAGAAAGTTGTTTTCATATATATCTATACACACACACTTTTCAACTTAGCAGGAGTCACTCCCTAGCTCCTCAAAGTGGTGAATCAGACTTTGTTGACAGGCACCCCTAAGATACACCCAGAAATCCATTTTCTTTTGTTCCCTATAGCTTTTGAAAGAGTAGCGTAACCTTTAAGAAGTGGATTCAGGCAAATCCAGCCAGCACAAAATAAACAGAAATGCATCTTACTCCAAAAGTTCAAGGAGTCAAGCTGTGACTGCAAAATTGGCAGCAGTTGCACAGGAAAGCAAACCAACCAAAGAAACTTCATTCCTAGAACTTCAGTCTCTCTTCATGTCCTTCAGCCTCTCAAGTTAGGTTCTCCTCTTTTTCTTCCATGGCTTTGCTTGCCCTTGAAAGACTACATCTTTCCCATTTCTATCCAAATTGGAACCTTCCCCGTCTGTCTCTGAACGTTAACCTGGCAGAACACATCTGCAGGGCCCACACCAAAAACAGATAGGACAACTCCCAGCCCTGCCCCATTCTCTGCAATCAGACCTTTTAGGTATGAGTTACAGCCCATAGGTTACTCCCTCCTCCCTACAAACTCCTCTAAGTATATATTCCTGAGGCATCCCTCAGTTATTACTAAGGTAAGGAGCTCTTCTGCAAGATGCAATAGCTTCAATAACACTATACTCCACAAATCCTCAACTGTGCACCATATACACATCCACCTAGACTCATTTCCAGCTTTAATATCAGCGCCACATGAGATGAATCACTAACAAAGATGGAGGGGGAAGCAAAGGGGAAAAGGGTTATTTGTTTTAAATACTCCCTTCCTTCTCTACCTCTTGTCTATTAGGCAAGTCCTGGGCAAGTCCAGGTCTCCCTGCAATGTAAAGCTGCCATTTACAGACCAAACTGTCCTGTTTAGGAGTAGCTGGGGCTTTTTCTTCCAAATTTGTACTGAAATGCTGCACTGGAACCCTGCTCTTCTCATTTCTTACAACACACGCACACTTCGTATTTGTCTTGAGTCAAAATTATCCTTGCTTAAACAGCTTTTTTCCTTTCCTGCTATTTACCCCTCCTTCCTTTACAAGGAAGTCAGACCCACCCAGCAATCATTTACAAATTACACAAGGTCAGTTCTCCCAAGGCAGCATGTCTGTACTGTGCAGCGAAGAGCAAGGCAAACTGAACCAAACGCCTTAAGACATAGAAACTCAAGACACAGAAGTGATGCAGATACGTTCTCAGACAGAGCCTTGGTGGCAAGGTTGTTTGACTTCTGGCTTCAGACCCAGTATACAACTGGATCTTCAGTGACCTTCGCAATAAGAACCACTATGATAGTCACTGTAATAGAAAACTGCTCCACTTTCTTCACTGACCTATTTAAGTCCTTCTTATCTTCAATAAGGGTGACCAGGAACATGCAGCAGTCTCCAGGAGGACTCAGTTTACAGAGGCAGCTCCCCACTGGTACTCACAATGCCTTGGCTTTCAGCCCAAGATCATAGCATCCTTATCATAGCCGTATCAGCACTTGTCCTCACCTGCAATCCAGCACTGCACCAAGCACACCTACCCACCAGCTCATTCACAACTGACATGACTTCCTAGCTGACAGCAAAAGCCCATAGAACTCCCATATGTGCACTACTAGGATTTGTTTTTTTGGCCCTTCCTCTCTGTGCCCCCACAGCCCCTGCACTGAGCCAGCAGCAAAGCCCACAAGCCAGCTCCTGCCTTTTGAGCCAATGACTTCATGAAGGAGCCAACTTCACCTTCAAGCAACCTCTTCCAACATATTTCACCACTTTTTCCTCCTATAGCCAGCTCTTCACCTCCAACACTGCACTATTCCCAGTGTAACACAATCATATTAACCTCTCACCATAAAGCAGTCTCTTTGCTTAGGAAATTAGTTACAGGCATAAAGTTATCCAGACAAAAGCTATCTTTAGGAGGACAGTCCTGCATCATATCTCAGCTTCCACTTACAACAGCACAAAGCCCTCTTTGCCAGCTCCACAGCTCCCAGTCACTGTGTGAAACCAGTGGCTTTTCCCCTGTTTTGCTGATAGATCAGAGATCTCATTGGCTATATGATCATCCATTGGCAGGCTTTAACTTTCAGCTGGTCTCCAGACATGCCAACAGCCAGACCCACTTGTTGGAAGCACAGCAGTGCCCACCATCCCACAGGAATTCCCATCATTCTGCCAGAGATGTCTGACAATACAGGTTGGTGTCACCTCCTTGAGACCACACAGCAAGCCCACACAGCCCTATGCACTCCTCTTCCAGCCCAGGGCCAACGCAGCAAGGGAGATGAAAACATCCACAAATATTTAAACACAACCAGGCTTATTTTATCCTACGTGAATGAGGCAGGGGTGAAAAGCAGCAGCTTATGCCAATTTACTGAGTGATTAGCTTGAGGCTACTTAATGTCTCTGACCTTCCTTCACCCTCCTTATATGACAAGGATAATATTTATCTAATCTCCCTCAGCTTTTCAAGTGCTGTGGTAAATAGCTAAAAAAAGGCACTTGATGAACACCAAGTACTAC